ATATATATATATATATGCTCCATATTGAAATCAATGATAAAAGCGGATGCATATCTTGATCTATGCATCTGATTGCTTGAATTATACGGGTTATCATCTTCCAATTGATACACAATTCCTCTAGAATTCTTCTCAGTTGGGGATGCAGAGATATTGAACAATCACGTTCAATTGGGAATCATGATCTCATGATATAATAACTGTATTGAGCAGCTATTATCTTTCACTTATTTTAAATTGGCCTCAATCAATTTAAAATAATTTTTTGGTCTCTCACTAGTCCAAACTTGGCTTTAATAGATCACTTTATTAACTAAACTTTTAAGATAACATTACACATTTTAATATATATACATGTGTGGCCCCACACGTTGGAATTTTTCAACAATTCTTTGTTGAAAGATATCTAATGTGATATAGCACTACCCTCCCCCCTGTATTTGGTTGAAAGAGTGACTTCAAAATTTCAGCATTTAATAATTCTTCCAGAAAATTGTTGACAGGAACAACCTTATCAAGTATTACTCTTTATCAGGTTTTGAACTGCGAGTATGCTGTCCGTGGAGAAATTGTTACCCTTGCTCAGGTTTGATGATGCATTCATTACTGAATAACATCTTTTGTTCATGGACATAGAACCTTGCTTGGGATTAATTTCTGGGTGGCCTTGGGTTACATGTTTACTCTTGACAGAAATTACAACAAGAGTTGAAGGACAATCCAGGTTCTCGTACTTTTAATGAGGTATTTGACATTATACTTAATTACCTGTTAATATTATATCTTAGAAATGCATATTTTCCTTTCTCCTGATGCACATCCTCATTTTATATTTTTGCTCAGCGGGGTGTCATACACTCATACTTTGAATTATGAAATAATATTGCTCAATGCACCCTTTCAAGCGCTTATGAGCTCTTGAAGAGTGTTTGGCATTTCTTATGAGCTCAAGCAAGTAGAAATGTGCGTACAAACTCTTGGTGAGTGTTTGAGTGCTCAAAAGCTCAAGAAAGAGCTTTGAGGACTTATAAGTACTATAAGCACTTTTCAAAAAGGGTGGGGTATCCTGCCTTTTTTAAGTGTTATCAAGAACTTTCGAATCATCAAATAAGCTCAAGGAGCTTATAACTTTTACGAAACCTTGTAGGTGTCTTGTGTTTATAATTTGATAGGACCCCTTGCTGCTCGTGCTCAACTCGAGGAATTCCCCTGCAATTGGTTCTCCTATTGCTCTAATGGATCTGGCTCCTGCTACTGTGGTTGTTGCCGTGGTTACTGCTGAATCTGCTGTGAAGATTGAATTGTTGTTGCTGTGGTGGTGACCTACTCTGAATCAGAAGCTGTAACAATAGGATTGGTTGCATTAGTGAAGTTGCACGTTGTGTGGTAATTGTTGGAATGAGAGGTAGTATGGATAGAATGATGCAATGTTTGTAAGGTAGAGAACAATTGTAAATGAATGCTTTATTGATATAGAATGTAAATGACAAATTCCAGGCTATTAGAGAAGTAGGATCTCTCCTCTTTAACTGAACATGTGCATGAATTAATCCCCCATTTCCCTCTTCTCTCACATTTATTGACAATCTCCAACCCACTCAATTATCCCAATACCCCTTCCCTGCTAACTAACTAAAGTTGGGCTTAATCCCCCTTTGTTTCCTTATCTCTTTTTCCTTGCATAAGTAAACCTGATTGGTGGTCTATTATTACTTGATTATCCGAAATCCACCTTTTCCTCAAGGTGGAAGCTGTTGAATTCATAATACAACTACACATTTTCCTTTGTAAGAATGTTAGCCATGGTCATCGCGGAGAAGAGACTTTTCATCCCTTTGAAGGGGAGGGATGTCATGATAAGGCAGCAGCAACCCAATGGAAGAACTGGGGGGAAAGAAGGAAAAGAACTAACAATAATTAGCTTTCAGAAAAGGAAAAAGAGTGGGGTCCACTTCTGGGATTTAAGTGTTATTTTGCTTATTGCATTTTTTTGTAAAATGGAATGCGATTTCCTTCCATTTTGTTTGTCAGCATATATAGAACATACAGAACATAGGAGAAAGTGCTGTCAGTTGATGTAAAAAACCATTTCTATTAATTAATTATCTCTATTTCTTCTACTCCTTATATTTTCTTCTTCTTACTTTAATTAAATCATTACCCATTTTCAATTTCGTGATTAATTCAGCAATTAGACTGGGTTCTTAGCTCTTTGAGCTGTGATCATTAAATTGGTACGAATTTTGAGTGAATTCATTCCTAGATTGAACTTCACTCATTACATTTGGTGTCAAAGCACTAAGAATCTGGGCAAGAATGGAGACTAGATAGAAAACTACCGAAGAAAATCTAAAAAGGCTGGATAAGGATATGAGTGAATTGAGTGTTGTTGTTGTTTCCCTCACTTGTAAGGTCGATTCTAAATTTGATAACATTGATGGATTTATAAAGCAAATGAATGAGAAACATGAAGTTGTTGTTGCTTTACTAGCTAAAATAAGTGTATCTCAGGAGAAACGAGTGGAGGGTTCCAACAGTGGATTAAATTTTGATAGTGGTGTGTCAAGGGTGAGATTTGATAATGAAGAGAGAACATGAGGAAGTAATTATGATAGCAGATTAAATACGAAAATTCCTAAAATTGATTTTCCCCAATTTGAGGGTAATAACCCAAAAGAGTGGATGATGAATGCCAACAAATATTTTCAAATTCATCAAGTTACAGAGGAGCTGAAGGTTGGAACTGCAGAGATGTATTTAAAGGGAAGGGCACATATTTGGATCCATGGGTTCCTAGCTAGTAATACAAATACCAGTTGGAACCTATGGGCTACTGAAATCTGTAGAAGGTTTTCTGAGACCACCGGCGAGGATGTAGTGGATACCTTGTGCAAAATTAGACAATACGGTGGTGTAGCTGAATGCTTGGAGAAATTTGAGGATTTAAAAGCACAAGCTATGCAAGCCTTACCTAACCTACCTGAATCCTACTATATTAGCATCTTTACCAGTGGATTGAATGGGGAGATTAAGTCCATGGTCAAGATGATTAAACCCACGACCTTAACCCAAGCTTTTAAAATAGCTCAACTCCAAGAGATCACTATTTCTGCAATAAACAAGAACCTTATACCCATTAAGCCATTTACTACTTCAAAAAACATTTACACTTACAAATTACCTGGATCACATAGCCCAATTCTTAAAATGCCAACTCAAATTCATAACATCCAAAACTCACCTACAAAACCACTATTTCCATTGATATCCAAACCAACGAAATCTGGGGCTTTGCTTTAGGTGTGATGAGAAGTACACCCAAGTGCACATTTGTAAGAATATGATGTTGGACTTTATGGTGGTGGATGAAAAGGTGAGGGTGATGGCAGGGAGACACGGACCCAGATGGAGAAGAGAATAAGGAAGATGAAGGGGAAGAAGTCATGGAAATCTCCATCAGTGCATTGGTTGGGCACATCAAACACAAAACTATCTGAATTCCAAGAAAGATTAATGGCAAGAAAGTGTGTGTACTCATTAATAGTGAAAGCACACACAACTTTATTGATGAAAGTTTGGTACATTCTTTGGGATACTTGATTGAGAATGCCAAGCCAATGATGGTGATTGTGGCAAATGCACAAAAGCTCTAAAATAAGGTTGTATGCCAGCCAATGACTTGCCAAATGCAAGGGCTGGAGTTTCAATACAGATTAAGGTCCCTAAAACTTGGGGGGTAGTGACGTGATGTTGGGGATGAACTGGCTCAGCCACCAATAACCTTTGATTTCACACAGGGGTATATTAAATACATGCATAATGAGGAAGAGGTGAAAATACGTAGTGAGTTTACTAGTAGTAAAATGGAAATGATCAATGGAGAGCAACTAGAGATGGAATTATGGGGCAACTGTATACCATTACATAGGCAGATTCAGCATAAATAACGGAAGATCTCAAGCCAGTTTCCAAGATGTGTTTGCAGAACCAAAGGGACTAGCTCCAATTAGAAGCAATGATCATCAGATAAACTTGAAAGAAGGGGCTCAACACTTCAAACTTAGGCCATACAGATGTCCATTTATTCAAAAACCTGAGGTAGAAAGATTGGTTAAAGAGATGTTAGACTCAGGAAATATTTAACTTAGTAGTAGCCCTTTTGCTTCCCCTGTGCTGATGGTCAAGAAAAAGAATTGACCTGGAGGTTTTTTACAGACTACATGCAGCTGAACATCCTAATTGTGAAGGAAAAATACCCCATACCCTTGATTGATGAACTAATTGATGAACTCTACGGAGCTAAATATTTTTCTAAGATTGATCTTGGAGTGGGATACCATCAGATAAGGGTCATGCCAGAGAATGTTTATAAGACAGCTTTCAAAACTCATCAAGGTCTGTATGAATTTAAGGTCATACCTTTTGGGCTGACCAATGCCTCTGCTACCTTCCAATGTCTGATGAATGAGGTGTTTAAAGAGAAGTTGAGAAGATATGTGCTAGTTTTCTTTGATGATATATTGATATACAGTGTAGATATGCCCAGCCATTGTGAACATTTGGGGACCGTACTGCAGCTACTCAGGAAAGATGAGTTGTATGCTAAGTAAATGTACCTTTGGGCAAAAGAAGGTGGAATACCTAGGCTATGTAATTGAACAGCAAGGGGTATCAGCCGATCCTAAGAAAGTACAAGCAATGCAATCATGGCCAGTGCCAACTAACATCAGACAACTAATTCAAGAAAGGCTATTGGACATTAGCTAAGCCCTTTACTGATTTGCTAAAGAAGGATAATTTTCTATGGTCAGATACAACAAAAGCAGCCTTTAATAATCTTAAGCCAACTTTGAGTTCCACTCCAGTGTTCACTTTATCCAACTTTGAACAACCTTTTATTGTGGAAACAGATGCTTGTTATGGAGGTATTGGGGCAATACTAATGCAGGATAGGAAACCTTTGGCTTACATCAGTAAAGCCATTGGACCAAAGAGCTTGGGGATGTCAATACATGAGAAAGAACTCTTAGCCTTAGTTACTGTAGTGGTGAAATGGAGACATTACTTGGAGGGTCACCATTTCATTATTAAAACCAACCATTAATCCTTGAAGTTCCTGCTTGAACAAAGGATAACTATTCCATTGCAGCAACAGTGGCTTACTAAATTAATGGGGTTAGATTATGAAATCCAGTACAAAAAAGGGATAGAGAATGTGGTAGCAGATGCACTCTCTAGGAGGGTAGAAAATGATGGGAGATGTGTTGCCATTACTCAGTTAATACCAACGTGGATGCATGAGGTGATTTCTAGTTATGAGGGAGATGATCTTACTGAGAAGAAGATCCAAGTCTTGCTTTTGGATCTAGTTGCAGAATCTGAATATCAGTATAAAAATGGGTTGATTAAGTACAAGGATAAGTTGTATATTGGCAGGACGGGAAATATTAAGAAAATTATTCAAGCTATACATAACTCACTAGAAGGGGCATTCTGGAATACAGACCAACATATTTAGAGCTAAACAACAGTTTTGTTGGGCAAGCATGACACGAGAAATCAAAAGAGAAGTGTTACAGTGTGACATTTGCCAGAAATGTAAAGATGAACACTTGCCATATCCAGGTCTTCTACAGCCTCTACCTGAACCTCAACATTCATGGAGTCATATATCTATGGACTTCATTGAGGGACCGCCAAAATCTAGGGGAAATAATGTCATTTTTGTGGTAGTAGGTAGATTTAACGATATGACCACTTTCTTACTCTTCTCATCCTTTTACAGCAAAGAAAGTGGCAAAAATATTCTTGGATCGTATTTATAAACTCAATGGCATGCCTCAGAGTATTATCTCTGATAGGGACTAGATTTTTAGTAGCATCTTTTGGCAGGAGCTATTCAAACTCATAGGAACTAATTTGCAGCTCAGTTCAACGTACCAAACACAGATAGATGGCCAAATTGAGAGGTTAAATTAGTGTCTGGAGCCGTAGCTTAGGTGCATGACACACCACATGCCCAAGGCATAGATAAAATGGTTTTCTTTTGCCAAGTGGTGGTTTAATACCACTTTTCATTCAGCCATCAAGAGGATACCTTTTGAGGCTTTATATGAGATTCTACCACCACGGTTAGCCATGGAACCTTATCAACAAACAAGAATTGCAATGGTGGAAGATGTCTTACAGGAGAGGTATAAGATGGATCTATAATTAAAGGACTTAGCATAAGCTAAAGCCAGGATGAAGATGTACACTGATAGAAATAGAACTAAGAGACAT